GCCCCCACAGCCAGACTCCCCGGCAGCAGGTGTGCATCCTGCTCAGGCTGGCCAGGTGCCCCAGGTGCCCCCCGGCATGGCTGCCCTCGGCAGGGCCCAGCAAGGAAGCCAGGTCCAGCAGCCGCCCGGCTGGCCTTGCCCCAGCCTGAGGAAGGCGGCCGCCCAGGACAGCCTTCCCACCTCCAGTGTTGGTTTGGTCCAGACGACATTGACCTGCAAGCTAAGGGTGACAGTGTGGTGTCTGATGGCGTGAGTGCCTGCCACTGAGGAGGGAACAATCCTTGGCCCCAGAAGCGGGTCATGCTGGGCCCGGGCACCGTGGGGACACTCAGCACCCTGGGACCGCGTCTCCTGTGCCCCTGTGGCCTCTACGGCCAGCTGCCCTTTCTGAGCTGCTGCACACCCAGGGCAGTTCCTGCAAAGGGAGGGTGCTCTCCACGGATGGGCTCCTCGGGTGGGCTCCCGCTCAGCCCTTCTTTACCCTCTTTCCTGGGAGGAGAGCAGAGGCCTCTGCCCGGGCGATTCTGGATAGCAATGAGCCTCGGAGCACACGGATGCATCTGCCTGCCCTGGGCCTCGCTGTGGGCTCAGCCCCACATGCCGTGGCTCCTGCAGGCTGGGGCCTGCTGTAGCTCCCTGCTGACGCAGGGCTGCGGACACCAGGGTCCTCCCCCTGGAGCTGGGGACCTCTTCCCCTCTGTCTAGACCGGAGGGCTTGTTCCAGTCTTTGTGGACCAAGTTCTGGGGCGTGACCTGCTCTTTATGGGGAAACTGGCAGGAGGGTTTGGTTGGTCATTTCCCTTTATTGATAGTGACATATTTGAATAATAAAAGAGCTTTCCTATAAAATATTTTCAAACACAGAATTGCCAAGAAGCCAAGCCGTTGGAAGAGGGGGTGGGTGGGGGTGCACTGGGCCTCTTCCGCCCTGGGCACTGAAGGTCATTACCGCCCAGGCCCAGCGGCTGTCACGGGTAAGCCCCTGGCCCTGCAGGCTCATCTGGAGGTTGGGCAGTAGCTGCCAGGCAGGGTGTACCTCACGCTGGCCCCCAGGTACCCACTGGTCACCTCCAGGCAGCCATGTGGCCCTCGTGTCCCAGGGGAGGGGAGTGAATCACGGCCTCAGGCCCCAGTGGAGAAGGAACGTGGGTCTGCCGGCTGGGCTGGGGCTTTGGGGCTAGCTCACAGCACAGCCCGCTCCATGCTGAGTCCTCAGCCCCAGGTCAAGAGGTGGCCAGGGCACGCATTGCCAGACCTCCTGCCTCCCAGGGCCCCACCAAGGGTCTCTGCGCCTCCGCTGAGACCCTGCACGAAGCACGGCTCTTCTTGCCGCCCTCTTCCCCTGTGTCCAGGAACCTGAGTCCCTGTCCCCTGGAGACCCCATCCTGGGACCTTCCCCACCTCAGAGGTGCTGCTTCTGGGTGCCCAGGCACACACCTGACCTGAGGGGAAGGGAAGGGGCATCACTGCATGGGCTGGGGTCGAAGGCGCCTGAGCTGATGGCCCGCGATGGGTGGCCCTGGCTGGTGATTGGGCAGGAGTGCGTCTGGTTGGGCTGTCAGCGTCTGAGTGTCCTTCCTGCCCCAGGAGAGGAGGTGGAAACTGGAAAGTTACTGGGCCAGGAAGCCGCGGAAGTTGCTGCCCTGGGGCGGTGGAGACGCTTCCTGCTTCCTGGTTGGTCTCAGCTTGCAGGGACCGCAGGTCCCACCACATCTGTGACAGCCACCGCCCGAGGCTGGGGCAGCGGGAAGCCACGCCCGAGGCTGTCTTCCTGGGCCCGAGCCTCTGTGGTCAGAGGCTCACAGCCCTCGGGGGCTTCCCTGGGGGGCAGGCTCCTTCTAGAATCCCCGCAGACTCCTGGTGGAGGCAAGGCCCCCCCTCCACCCGCCTTCGCTAGGCTGAAGGTCCTAGGAGGGCTGGGGGCTCACCAAGCATCCGCCTGCCCGGGGGAGGCCACTGGCCCAGCCCACCCAGCCCACTTGATGACAGCATTGCCCCCAGCCCGCATCGTGACTTCATTGCCCCAGCCCACCCAGCCCTCATGGTGACTCCAGCCTGCGGGATGAGGCCACTGTGGCGTGACGTCACTAGCTGTCTCAGCCCTCCTGCCCACGGCTCCTCCTTGATGGGAGTGGGCTGACCCCTCGGGGTCTCTCTCATGTGGGGCCTCTCGGCCCTGTTCACCCCCAGCACACGCCCCCCAGGTGGTGTGGACAGGTGAGGGCCCGTGGGCAGCACAGCGAGGGCACCTCTGCCTGTTCCACAGACAGCACCTGAGGCCTGGGGTCCCGGCTGTGGGGTGAGGCCACAGCCCAGGTGGGGTGTGTCCACCTCCCTCTCACACAGGGTCGGCTGTGGGCAGAGGAGTGTGCCTGGGACTCTGGCCTGCTGCAGGGTCTGCGCTCCTCCCGCCCCACCGTGTGCGGGATGTGGAGAGCCCAGCAGGGTCAGCCGGTGGCACTGTGGATACCAGCAGATAAGATGAGCGCTCGGAGAGGCCGGATGGACGGCTTGCAAGCCCAGACCTGAGTCCTCAGCCGTGATAGGAGCTTCAGGTGCGGCTGCCACAGGGCTCAGCCCGGATGGAGCCTGGGATTCCCTGAGAGCGGCTCCGAGCTGAGAAGGGAGGGTGAGGAGGGTGGGCGCTGGGCCTGGTGAGCAGCTGTGCCAACGCCCGGCCCAGACGGAGCTGCGCACGCAGGACCAGGAAAGAGGGCGGCGGCAGGGAGATGCCAACGCAGGGTGGGCCCAGAGGCCCCTCTGGTCATTATCCCAGGTGGAGGCCAGAGATGGCTGTGGGAGGGCACTCCTGGACACGGGGTGGTCACTGACTTTCTTCTGGTCATCTAGGCAGCAGACGGGGCTGTGCCTGGACTTGGGCCTGGGCTGGGCTTGCGATGGGCCTTGCCATCCAGATGGTGTCCATGGCGGAACCCAGGAGGGATCGTGGGAAAGGACTCTGGGAGGAGGGGAGGCCTGGGGAGCCTGGACCCACAGGCCAGCCGGCCAGCGCGACACCCCAGGGAGCGGAGCTTGTGTGTGACCCAGCCCTTGTCCTCCCCGCTGCGGCTGCTGACCCACCAGGGCTGCCTGCCTGTAGGGACTGTGACCAGGCCACGGCCCAGCCCACCCCTCCCACATGGCGACTCCATGTGGAGGTGGCCACGGCCACCTGCTCCGTCCTACAAACAGCCTCGGCCCAGGGTGGCCGTGGAGCTCTGGGGATGTGAACCAGGTGTTTTCTTCTTTCAAATTTGATACTTTGAATCTAAAATTTAAAACTGGTGCTCAGCTCCACAGTTAGAAACATTCCAGTGTGTTGGGTGACTTAGGTGGGCACTTCATTGTTGGATTTCATGAAATCTAAGTCCAGTGGAGGATTTCTGATAAAAATTCAGTGCCCAAACTGACTCAAGTGAGCAGATTTTGGAGACTCAGAAGAAAAAGGGAAATAAGAATTGTCATTAGTAATTCTTTCTATTGATCACGTGGTAAAGAGATGATATTTTGGCTCTCTTGATCTATCATGCATTGTTGGTGCTGGGTGTTAGACCCACAGCTTCACACATGTGAGGCAAGCTCTTCCACTGAGCTGTCTCCCCAGCCCTTTGCATTTTATTTGGGGACAGGGTCTTGCCAAGCTGCCCGGGCTGGCCTCGAACTCGCCATCCTGCTCAGCCTCCCGCGGGAGGGTCACAGGTGTGGCTGCTGCACACAGCTATGTTGGATTTCAGTAAAAGATACTAAGATGAAGGTCACATTGCCTTTCCCTTTTCTTGGTGTGGCCACCAGAACCTGAGAAGTGACCATTCGGCTCCAGGTGCTTTTGCCAGTGAGCTGTGTTGGGGGCACCGAAATTCTAAGATCCTGAAGGTTGAAGGCACCACTTGGTGGCACCCAGAGAGGTGCTCACAGCCAGGCGCAGACTGGCAAGCACCCCTCAGGCCCCGCGGTGAGGAGCGTGAGTGCTGGGTGTGGAGCCTCAGTGGTGTGACCGTGCCTGTGTGTGCACGTGTGAGTGTGTGTGTGACGGATATGTGTACCTGTGTGTGTGGGGGGGGGTGAGAGGGACACCATGCACAGTGCCAGCCACACAGCTGGGGGACACTGGTCCTGTCCCAGAGGTGGTCGGGCCTTGGTTCCCAGTCCCAGGGCCTCTGCTGGAGCCCTGAGGAAAGGCCACAGACCAAGCTGACACCTTGTGTTGTGGGGACAGGGTGGACGGGCCCTGCTCACCAGCTGGGGTGCCGAGCGGAGGCTGGCCTCCATCCTGAAATGGGGGCTCCGCCTTGCTCCCTCCTGAGTGTCCCTGTCGCCTGGAGCTCTGGGGGGTGCCTGGGGTCAGATGTGGGAGGCCCTGGTGGCCTTGGGCAGGAAGGCCAGCGTGTGCAGCTGGCACCTCCTTGAGGGGGCTTTTGCCTGGGGGATTCTGGGACGTGGAGCCCCTGGGCCCGGGGCCTTGCTGGTCCTAACTGCTCTCAGTTCCGGCTGCTCTTGTCCAATCTCCCTCTCGGGGCTGGTGACCACACGGTTACTCAGAGCCCCGCCCCTGTGCTCAGGAAGTGCAGGTCCTGTGGGGTCAATGTGGCCTGTCACGGGAGCGAGAGTGGAAACGTTTGAAAGGCTGTAACTCTTCACCTGGATAAAGCCCTGTCCTCCGCGTGGACAGGGCTCTCCCAGGTTCACATTGGGTGTTCAGGGGGCAGGGCTGTCACTGAGGGCCAGGTCAGGTGGGGGTCAGCCTCACCCCTCAGCCCTGTGTGCACCATCTGCAAACCCCCCACCCTGCGTCCTTCCTACTTCTGGGGCTGTGGGGCGGGTGCACAGAGGTCCCCACGAGTTGCTGACGTGGAGGGCTGTTGGCCCTCAGCCCAGACCACAGGGCTCCCACAGGAAGTCTATTTTGGGCAAGCAGCAGGCCCGAGGGCCCCTGGGTCACAGTGGAAAAGTCCGGCCCAGTGATAAGGCCCAGAGCCGCCACCCTTCTTCCTGCAGTGGGCGCAATGGGCCAGGGCCGTCCCCCAATCCGGCTGGGCTGAGTCATGTGGGCAGGCAGGTGGAAAATCCCAGCTGGGGACAGGCACCGCGTCTTCTGGGTCCTCGTACAGCTCACCCCCTGGTCTCCTGCTCCCCCCAGCTCTCCAGAGATGGCAGAACCTCAAGGAGGAGCCAGCTGTGTGAGCCACTGGGGCCAAGAGAGAGGACACCACAGCGGTACAAAGGGCCACTTTACTGTCCTGTGCAGTAGGGACGTGGCTCTGGCACTCAAGAGCAAGGACAATGGCAAGTGTCTTCACAGCCTCGTGAGGAGCTGGAAGCAGGCAACTCAGCCAGAGATGACCCAGGTGGCTGCCTCCTGGGACCGGCGGACACCAGGCCAGTCCACGTGGCTCTTGCCACTGCGCCCCAGCTTGTGCTAATGCAGACACTGAGCACTCGCGAGTGAAGGAGTGTGCGGGCATCCACTCTGGTAGGTGCAGGGCCCGCCCCAGCCCCTGCCCACCCAGATTATTAGGGAGCAGACTCCGATCTGGGATTGCTCCTCCTGCAGAGCTGCACCTCTCTCCAAACAACACACAGTGCTGCCGTCACGCTCAGCAGGACGAGGACTCTGGGCGGCTTCCTGCATGGCCCAGTGCTCCCTGTCTCAACTGGCTTGAGGTCTCCTTGCTTCACTTCTCTCCTTCCCCCACGTGTGTGTTTGGTCGAGGAAACCTGCGTCCAGAGCGCACAGACGTCCCTGCCTTCGCTGTGGGTGCCGTGGCCTCGTGCCATTGGAGCTGACCCGGCTCCCAGGTCCTGTCTGCAGGTGTGCCTGCTCAGCACATTTACACCAGCGGACCACACAGCGTGGGCCTCGCGTCCAGCTTCCAGTCCACTGCAGCCAGTCTGGGCAGGTGACCACCATTGCACGGACACTGGGTGCTTCCTCTGAAGTCACTGGCCACTGAGAGGAGGCCCTCATCACCTGGACCACGAATCCACAGGGAGCGTGAGTTTGACGTCCTCCCTGTATCAGGCCTTTCCCTGTGGGAGGTGGGACCCTTCCACCCACGCGTCTGCCCCTGCCCCTCCACGCTGCCCTGAGGTACAGTCCTGCCTTCACACTACTCGCTTCCAAAGCCCCCATGGCCGGGAGTGGCTCGGGGGTCGAACACGTGCCCAGCAGGCCCGGCTCCTGGTCTCCGTCCCCAGCACAGGGCAGGCACCCGTGGCTTGGTTCCCGGAGCTTTGGCTGGGGGGTTCTGGGGCTCACTGTGAGCTCAGCACAGCAGACGTTGCGGTTGTCACCCTCAGGACCCCTCAGTCCCCTTGGGACTCCCAAGCCCTCCACTGAGCGTCTGAGGGCTCCCAACTCTATTTCACCAGACAGGCCATGCTGAACTCCAGGTGGCCTTGTGGCAGGTCCACCCTGTCCTCCCCTCGCCCCGCCTCTCCTTGTCGGGAACCTCCCTGCCCTATCCCTGGCTGCTCCGTCCCAGTTCACCCCAGGGTGCTGCAAACGTTCTCCTGTGCATGGATCATATTCTTGTCAAGAAGAGAAAGAACGGAAGGTGAGCACCGGGGGCCCAGCCCTTGCCCCACCCAGTTCGTTATGGTCACTGTAAACAATGAGGGCACAGTCCAGGCCTGTCGAGCCTTGTGACAGGCATTCCTGCTGCCCAGGAGAGAGGGGCCAGGAAAAGCAAGGCACCTGCAGTGCCCCAGGGCACAGGCCAGCGGGGCAGAGAGCCAGCTTGTAGGTTGCTCGGGACAGGAAGGGCCCAGGACAGGACCCCAGCTGACTGCTGGTGGCTGGCGCCTCACAGGCCCCCGCTGGGAACGCCTGTAGGAACATCTTCCATGGCCCCCTGGGAGAGGGCACCTGCAGCCCCACTGCAGGGACGGCATCTGGTAGCCTGGTCAGTTGGAGCCATGGACACAGAACACTTCTGCCCAGCAGTTTTCCATTCTCTTGGCAGGAGCCTGTTCCGCTGCGGGTGGGTCGGCTGCGGAGGCTGCCCCCCCAGGGTCTGTTAGAGGAGTCTTTACTTGACTCTGGTTGGTTCTGTGTGCATCGAACTCGTGGGCCTCACATCGTCACCAAATGAGACTCGGCCCACCCTCTCTGGTCCAGGATTGTGCAGCACCCTGAGCCTGCTGGGGTCTGGCCCAAACAGTCTGCTGACATGAAAACCTGACGGGAAGCAGGACCCAGCCCTGGCGCTTCCCTCCCGCCTCTGGCTGTGGGTCCTCGGGCCTTGCTTCTGCTCATGCCACTCAGCAGCTGCGCCACACACTGGGGACTCGTCTCTCTGTGAGCCCGCTTGGTCAGCCCGGCAACAGGGACCAAGGACTCCCACAGGTGCCCCCTCTGAAGCCTGTGTTAAAACTGGCCCAGTGGCCTCCATGTAGAAGCAGTGGGCAGCGTGTGCCCCGGAGGAGGCCGGGCCTTCCTTTCTGAAAGCCCCCGGGTGCTCTCATGGTCAGCCAGAGCCCAAGGCTGAGAACAGGGACCCTGAAGGCAAAACTGGCACACTTCCTGTCCGGCTTTGTTTGAGCGGCTAAGAAATGGTGTACCAAGGCCAGGAGCTTGGGTTCCAGGGTCGGCAGGCTGGCCTGTGGGGTCGGGGTCATGGGGGCATCCTGTGCATCCCATGGGCCACGCAGACCTTATAGCCGTTCAGACAGGACAAGGACTGAAACTCCCCGCCTCAGGGTCACGCCCCTCCCCGGCCCACTGCCCCTCTGTGTACTGTAGCCTGGGTCCACGTCTCCCGAGGGTGGCCTCAGGGGCCTGGGGTGAGCATGGGGCGGACTGCTGGCGGCTCCAGAGCCCCGAGCCAGCCCTCATCTAGGTCCTTGACTCCTCGAGGCCTCAGTTCTCCTGGCTGGAAAATGAAGGAGCTGGACTCTAAAGTCTCTGTCTCTGCTAACACCTTCTGAAGTTTTCCACTTGTGTCCTGAGAACCCGGGGTACCCGGCAGCTCAGAGAGCCCAGGGGCTGGTCCTGGCAGGGGTCTCACTCCCTTTCTGCTGGTGTTGGACCCTGTGAAGTCCTCGAGTCCCTGTCACTAGCCTCTGGGCAATGCTTTGTGGGATCTGGTCAAGCCTGAGCCTCCTTAGGGCCCTCATTGGAGTCCCTGGGGCAGTGCCTCTCTGAGCCAGCAGAGGGCGGCAGTGCCCCAGCTGAGCCCAGCCAGGCCTAGGGAGAGGCCAAGGTGTCCCACTGCGTGCACTGAAACTTCCGGAGACTGGGACTCCCCTGAGCCAGAGGAGCCAGGAGGTCTCGGATTGGCTGTGTCCCCCACCGCCCTGGCTGGGCACCCTAAGGTCCCAGAAAGCTAGACTGGAGGGGAGCTGGGCCTCGGCATCCTCCTGCAGGCCCTGCGTAGGTGGGGGTGGCGCCGGGTGCAAGGCTGGGGAGGCCCTAGTGTGGCAGGTGCTCAAGTGCCTGGGGGAGCCATAGGCATGAGTCCCTTTCCCTGCTTCCCACTGGCTGGCCACTCGGGGTTGCTCTGGGGCCCTGCTCCCGGGCTGGCGGCCTGGTGGACAGGTCCCCTCTGGACACTAGTGTGGCTGGGGTCTGGGGTCGTGTCTTCCCAGCTGGGACTCCTGCCCTGGCATCTCTGGGTGGGATGGGGACTAGTTTCAAAGGCAGATTCTGTCCCCACCCAGGCCCATGGGGGTGGGCTCCCAGGGGTGGCCGGGAGCTGCAGACTTAGCTGCATCCATGCAAGTCTGAAGGCCCGAGTCTGCGACCCCCATGGGCTCAGCTCAGAGCCCTCCGCATCCCACTCCCCCGAGCCCAACCCACGCCCTGGTTCATCTGGCTCAGCCCTGGAGCTTTGAGCCAGGGTGCCCCACACACCCGCCCTCAAGTGCTCTGCCCACCGAGGCGGGGACCCCCACAGGGCAAGGTCCTTCCGTGAGTTTCAGGTCTTGTTCCCATCTGGTTCTGTCCCTCACCTGAGGGCTCCTGTTTGCCGACAGTGACAGCCCCATTGGCTGGCGGGGTCTGGTCTGCAGGTGAGATGCTCGCGGCCAAGTCCCCCAGGTCCCGCCTGCACCTTGAGCTCACAGGTTCAGTGCAGAACTGTGGCCTTGGCAGCCGGAGTCTGGCAAGCCCGAGGCTGGGCGGGACTTGAAGGAACCCTAACAGCTGTGGCCGAAGGGACGCCCTGTCTGGATGTACCCTGATTCTGATCCTCACAACAAGCCCCCGAGCCGGCAGCTCTTCCTCGGCCGCGCAGGCTCCTGGAGCAGAGGCAGGGCCCCGAGACCCAGCTGGTGAGCGGGAGGGCTGCGTGCAGTGCCCCCCTTCCCGAGTTCATGCTGACCAGCACCCACACACAGCTGGCAGAGGGGGTCTTGGTTGGGTTTTTGTTGTTAAAACATTGATTTGGTTTTATTGTCATAAGGCACACGGGACATAGAATCTACCCTCTGCCCGGTTTTGAGTGTTTGGTTCTCCCACCTGTCGGGGCCGTCCTCCCTGGCCCCCAGGTTTGCCAGGAAGTCCAGGTGCCCACAGGTTTGCAAGAGGATTCAGGAGAAGTTAGTTGAAGTGACCCCCAGGACACAAGCAGCAGGGGCAGAAAAGTAAGTCCACAGGCCAGGGAGAGACTGACCAGCTGCCTGTCCTGCCCTTTGCTTTGAGCTAGAAGCTCCTGAGTCCTGGGCCCTCGGGAGAAGCAGGTGCTTCTTTGCCTGTGTCCCATTTGTGGCCAGTGTGTGAGGGCTGGGACCCCACGCATGTCCCTAGGAGGGTCTCAAAGTGGAAGGGGGGGGCTGTCAGGAGAGCGCTCCTCTTTGCTGTTGGTAATACAGGGGGGACAGAGAGATCTGACTTGTGGATTTCATAAATCACAACTGTTTTAGCTCCGAGGGATGCAGATTGATTAAGGTCTGAGCGTCGAGCCCTGTATGGATTGGGAGCCCATCTCTCGTAAGCCCTCTCTTTCCCAGACCCGAGTGTCAGCAGTTTTCCGGGAAAGCAATCTTTTTATGTGGCATCATCGTGTGGATTACTGGAACGAGGCTTGCTGGCGGGGCTGCTGGGGCTGGGCCTGGGGGCAGGCAGGAAGGAGGTGGCTGAGCCCGTGTGTGCTCGGCCTGGCTGGGCTCCTGCAGACCTGGCCAGGGCATCCTGACCCTCCTGTGGTCCCTGGGGAGTCAGGCCTGGTCCTTCTGTGGCCTCTTGGCTGGGGCTGCGCCTCCTCCTGCGGCTGTTCCTGGTGCCGTGGCCGGGTCTGCTCTGATGCCTGGCACGCCCCGGGAAGCAGGCTGTAGAGTGAGGGGTGAAGACTGCCCATGACTCCACGCCCAGCACCACCCTCGTGGGACCCCCTGAACCCACGGTGGAGCTGGTGGGTGCTTCCCTGAGTCACTGGGGAGAGGACGAGGCAGCCCCGGCCCCACTCCTGGCCGTAGCCCCGCCCTCCATGGCAGGACATCACGTTTCCACCCCTCACGTGGGACCTCGTGGTGGAAGAGCCTCTGTCCTGGTCCCCAGCGTGCACTTGGCTCGTGACTCCCGTTGGCCAACAGGATTTTGCAGTGGTGACTGTGCAAAGGCTGTGCTGCGTCACTGTCAGGAGAAGAGCTGGCCCTGCTGGGACACCCGCGGCCTGGGGCTGGTGGGCCACCCCCACCCCAACTGACCCAGGGATGCAGAAAGAGAAGGACATGCTTCCAGGGACTGCTGCTGTCCCCTGGTGTCCCTTCTGGCCACACCACTCCCACACCCTGCTCCTCCCTCCCGGGTCAGCTCAGACGTCACCTCCTCCAGGAAGCCCTCCTGTTGGGCCTGTCTCCTCTCACGGCTCTTGCCAGGCTGCATGAGGGGGACCGTTGCAGTGGAGGCAGCCCCTCTGAGGAGGCCCCTTGCTCTGAGGGCCGGGACCAGAGCCCCATTTGCCCTGAGACCCGTCCCTGGGCCCTGCCCAAGGGTGAGCTAGAGAAAGCCAGTGGCCCCTCTGGCTGCCCTGCGGTGGGTGCTCACGGCCCCCTCCTCCTGGATGGCTGCCTGAGCCCTTCGTCCTGGGGGTGGCGGACGCACGGCATTGCCACCCTGGGCTCTGCTGGTCCTGTGGGTCTTCTGGGTGTCCGCGGCTCCCTTTATCCTCTGGCCCTGGGATTGGTGAGGAGGAGCGGGCCTGGTCCACAGAGGGCCTCCTGCAGCCGCTGCGCTGAGCCTGCCTCCTAGCCCTGATCGCCGCGCCCTCGTTCCACAGGCCTGTCGCCAGGCGACCAAGGAGCCCCGGCCTGCGTCCTGGGGCAGCTCCACCCCGTCCCCGGGGTCCCTGCCACAGCCCTCCATACTGCCTCTCTGCACCCTCCTGTGGTCTTCTGGACCTGGGGGCCCCTGTCTCTGGTGTCCCAGCCCTGCGGGAGGAGCCTCTCACCCACCTCCAGCACCATGCGCCCAACCCTGGGCTACCCACAGCCCGGCAGCCCTGTCTGAATCACGGGGGTCCCCGAGCAAAACAGGGACTGCCACCTCCTCCAGAGCACAGCAGACACAGCTCCTCTGGCCCAGGGCGTCGAGCCCTGATGGCCTGAGAGCGGGTGACAAGCAGGTGTCTTCCTGAGCTTTGCGAGCTGCTCAGCCTGCGCTCAGAAGGGAGTGTGGGAGGTGGTGACGCAGGCTGCAGTCGCTTCCAGGCGAGAGGTGATAGAGAGGAGTGGATCTGGCCTGGTCCGCAGGCAGGCCCCACACGGGGCTGAGTGACAGTGCCTTCTGAGTCTCATCTGCGATATGGGCGAGAACCCTGGGAGCACCCTCTGCGTGAGGCCGGTTATAATCCATCAGAAGCTTGTTTTCGGAGGTGACAGCCTGCTGCTCCCCGGAATGCCATTTAAGGAGCACGCCAGATGGCTTGATATTAGCTGGACAGCAACAGACACAGTGGCCCTGTGGTCCCCAGCCTGTGACAGCAGGGTGGAAGGGGCTGGGATCCTGGCTGGGGGACAGCTGGGAGAAGCCACTCGTGACACTGAGGAGGCTTCCAGGCCAGAGCCTTCGCTGGGGCCAGGGTCCTGCTCAATAGGGGACAGGCTCTGGGACAGCTATTCCTGCCCAGGCAGTCTCAACATCAAAGCTACGGTGATGGTCCATGTCCACCCATCACGCTGACCCCTGTCGGGCGCAGGCTCCCAGGGAGAGGTGTCTCTGTTCCCTCTTTTGGAACCGGTAGCTTTGCAACAGATGGAAGCAGTACCGCGTGGCCCGTCATGGGTCGGGGCTCCGCGCCCCGTCCCGGATGCTGCTGTAGGAAGCCCGTCCGTGTGAGGGGCCAGGAGAGTCCAGCCGCAGACCCAGCTGAGGTCCCAGCCAGTGAAGTGCTGACGGCAGGAGACGCCCACAGATGACCCAAATCTTCCCGATGAAGCCACGGAGTCCTCATACAGCCCAGGCCTGCTGCTTCTTGTGCAGGTAACCGGAGCCACGCGCAGGGTGCAGGCCGTGCCTCGGGGCAGGGTGGGCGGGTTCTGGCACATTCGGGGCCTATCTCAGTAGGTCTGAGGCCACGGGGCTTTGGCCTGCGTCCTAGCACTTCATGGTGACCTTTGCCAGGCAAGCGTCCTCTGAAGCAGCTCAGTCGGCCCTTTGGTGGAGGTGGACGCCAGCCTGGCCTCAGCTGCTCCCTGCTGCCCCTGGATGCACTCCCTCCCCGACTCTGGGTGGTGGCTGGACCCTGGAACCTTCTGGTGCAGAACATTCCTTGGTATCTGAGGTTGACGACATGCCCTGGGGGCTGCAGAATCCCCCTCCCCCAAGAAAGGCCGGGCTTCCTACCAGTCTCTGGTCAGGAAGGGACTCCCACCCATGCCTAGGGCCATGCAGTCTGGGCCTGGGGCCAGCCCCTCACAACTGTCCATCCATGTCAAACTCCCATATCCGTCACGTCCTGGGAATTTTTGAGAAACCCCCCTCTTCCCTCGCATTCGACCAAGCCAGAGCCTGATGCCAAGACCCCAGGAAGGTGAGTCCTGGCTTCTCCGGCTGAGGGAAGGCTTCTCCTCTCCTGTCAAAGGACCTGCCAGGGGCCGTCCTCAGGGCACACCTCCCTGTCCTGTATCGGGACTCTCCTCAGGCCAGGCCCTGTCTCTCAGTAGGGGACAGGCTCTGGGTCAGCTCTTCCTGCCCAGGCAGTCTCAACATCAAAGCTACGGTGACGGTCCATGTCCACCCATCACGCTGAGCTCAGACCCTGAGCTCAGATGTGGGCAGCTCTGTGAACAGGTGGAGGGGAGGCCAGCTTGAGCACCGCTGCCTGATCAAGTGGCCTGTGAGTCCCTAGGCCTGAGGTGGGCATCGCTCAACCGAGAGAAACAGCTCAGGTGGTGGGGAGAGGCAGTGTGCCCACAGGCCCTCCCCAGAGGGCTGCTTGATGGGCAGGTGTGCACACAGGTGTGCACACAGGTGTGCAGGGCCCTGGGCAGGGCTGCTCCACTCCAGGCTCTGGGTCCTCATCAGGGAAGTGGTGGTGGCCTGCCCACCCCCTGGGGAGGACACTGGAGCTGCCCCTGGGATCTCTGGTAAGCAGGACAGAGCTGGAGGCTCAGGCCCTGAGCTCAGATGTGAGGAGCTGGGGTAGGAACCCAGGGCAAGCAGTAGCTCTGCTGACGGGGCTGAAGACCCCGCGCTGTGCTCTGTCCTCCCCGCAGTCTCCCACCCCTTAGGGTGCCTGGCCCAGGGCTGCTTGTCCTGGTCTGGTCCCTTTGGGACATGCTCCAGCCTTTCTCCCCAAACCAAGGGATGCAGCTTCTGGGAGGACGTGGCGACTTGAGTGCAGGGTGGGCCCCAAGGCCCTGCTCTGGCTGCTCTGTGCTTCCCAGTGCCTCCTGCTCAGTCCTGGGGGTCCTGTGGGAAGATGGGCAGCTCTGTGAACAGGCAGGCGGAGGAGAGGCCAGGTTGAGCACTGCTGCCTGACTTGATGTTCCCCTACCCAGGGTGCCTACTGTCCCCCGAGGGCTGGGCAGGCACTGGAGCTGAGGCACTGGGACTGATGGCCACTTTATCTCCTGTCTTGGCCCAGCAGCCTGGGCTGGGGTGGCCGGCACAGAGCCAGCGCAGCTCAGAGCCTCTCCCTGACCAGCACATCCGTGGATGCTTTAACCAAAGGCCATTAAGCTGTCACAGTGCTCGCAAGCCTTCCTGCTGGTGCCTGATGGCGGATGTGGGCAGGGTGCCTCCGGTTCCCGTCTCTCCCTCCGGGTTGAGTCACCCACCGCTGTCCGGCCAGACTGCCTGCGCCGACTCTGAGCTCATCGGCTCCGCCATCAATCATCCCTCTGGGTTGGAGCGTGGAGGAGCCTGGGTCTGACAAGGACTTTGCTGCTGAGGCGGAGCTCAGCCACGCTAGACGGGCCCGGGCCACCCCCACCAAGCCCCAGCCAGCTGTGCCTCCACTGGCACATCTCCTGTGACCATGGCAGGGACCTGGTCCTGAGGGAGGTGCCCTTCTCGCCACTGTCCAGGATGTAGTGGGCTAGCAGCCCCCTCCCCCTGCACCTGAGGGCGTCACCCCATTGCGGCACAGGAGGAAGTCATCATGTTGACGTGTGGCATGTGCGTCTTGCTCTCCCTGGCCTGGCGTCCAGCCCCAGCTTCCCCCACCTGACAGAGGACAGCACAGTCAGAGCCCAGCTGCTCATGGCCCTCCCAGCTCCCAGGCTGGGCACTGCCTCCTGCCTGGCACAGAGCCCAGGGCCACACTCGCTCTTGTGGCTCATGAAGCTCTCCACCAGGGACCCTGCAGGAGCCAGAGAGGGGGTGTCTCATGCACAGGCTCTGGTTCTGGCCGACCCTCGGAGCCACTAACTCTGAGCAGGGTCTGGAGACGTCACAAACAGCTTCTGAGCAGACGGGGGGGGGGGGGGGGGGGGGGGGGGTGTGGAACTCAGCAGAGCAGCCGCACTGATTTCAGGTGTTTTGCTTGTGGCTTTGCTGCAGGGGGAGCCCCATCTAGGTCACAGCACCAGGGGAGAATATTAGGACGGAGCCCCA